CTCAGTGACTTGTCTCGCTGTCTAAGGAAGCCTGCGTCTCCAGATGTGAAGCCAGAACACCCTGGACAGCTGGCTCAGATCCTCCGTCCCTCTCCTCTCGCTTCCCCTGCACACTTCACACATTGACCTCTTCCTGTACATCCATGTCCAAACCTCCTCCCTCTCTTCTGTAACACAGCAAAACAAGAACGTAGAATGCCTGCTAGAACCCCGGGCACAGAGGGGTTCCTGCACATCTCTCTCCTTCCTCACCGTGTTCCCTCAGTAGGTGCGGTAAGGTGTCACCGCCTAACATTTTTCCATGGGACATGGGACATGGGCCCTGTGTTAGTTACTTTCTCACTCCTGGAACAAAACACCCAACACCCACAAGGTGAAAGAGGAAAGGTTTATGTTGGCTCCCGGTTTGTAGAGGTTTCAGCCCCTAGTCAGCTGGCTCCAGGGCAGGGCAGTGTGGCAGAGGGCGTGGCTGGGAAGAAACAGTTCACAGCAGGGCAGGCAAGAAGCGGCAAGGTTTCCCCCTTCTTTCCCTTTTTATTCCACACAGGAAACAAGGCTATTGGCTGGTGTCACCCACACTGCGAGTGAATTTCCCACTTCAGTAAGTTCATAACCAACACCCAGAACTCTGTTAAACCCATCAGAGTACTAACCTAGCGTCATACATTCATGATCCAGTCACCCCCAAACCCACCTGCTAGCACATGAGCTCTGGAGGGATCCAGACATGAGCTATAACCCTCTGGTGCCCCGTGAGGCTTCCCACTGTGCGTGTGGTACAGGCTCCTGCTGAGGAATGTGAGCAGGCTTTCCATCCACATCTGCCTCATGAAGACAACGTGTGGAGAGGACGAAGGGCTTCCTGCAACACAGAGCAGGCAGTGATGGCCCAGGAGAAGGTTAAGGGTTCCTGGCTTGGACGCCACCAGCACAGTCATTGTAAACAGTGTCACCAAGGGAGATGAAAGACAGATCATGTGTTCTCTGAGCTCAGATGTCCGGCTTTTTCTGCCTTCTGATTCCTGCCACTCTTGTGAAGGGAATACCCTTCCCCTCAAAGCCCCTCACACCTCACCACTGAGCCCCATCCAGGTGCAGTGACACTGAGAAAATGGGTCAGCCAACACACAGCAGGGGCGCCTGAGCACAGTGCAGGGACACAGTGACTCTCAACAGACTGCAGCTGCCTATTGTCCCAGCGGCACTGATGGGGGAACAAGGGCATGGGGCAGTTTTCCATCACCGGGAGCAGCATCCACACCGAAAAGGAGGGAGGAAAGCTGTGTTTATCTCACAGTTGCCAAGGTTTGCATCCGTGGTCAGCTGGAACATCATGCTGGAAGGTGTGGCAGGGCAGAGCTGCTTGCTTCATGGCAGCCAGGAAGCAGGGTAAGGGACAGCAGCAGAGAGGAAGGGACCAGGAACCAGACGGAGTCCCCCAGGTCATCCCCACCCAGACACATCCAGAAATGTCCTTTCCAGCCCCCGAGCTGCCTTCCAAGCCAGTACGGTTGACAATTTACTGTCCCAATGTGATATCTCACAATTCAATGCCATTGAAGAACTCATAAACTATGGGCTCGATAGTTTAGACCTCTAGCCGAGGTGCGGAGAGCACAGATGTCTGCCCTGTGGTGTCTGCAGCTTCTCCTGGAAGGCAAGAAGGTCAGGGGTCGTTTGGGGACTAGGGGCTGAGCTCACCCAAAGCCTCAGTCTCTGTCGCCTGATGGTGAGCTTGTCTGGCAGCTGGGGCCAAGGCTGTTCTCCATGAGGTCCCTCCCCACGGGCTACTCTAGGCTCCCGTGCAGCACGGTGGCTGAGTTCCAGAGGATAGAGCAACAGGAAGCTGCATGTATGGCCTGGCTCAGGAGCTGCACAGAACCGATCCTGCTGTTAGCTGTGAGGTTCAAACATTGGTCCACACTTCAGAGGAAGGAACACAGATCCAATGCTTGATGGAAGGAGCATCTGCCCCACTGTGAGAGCACAGATATGGCCAACTTTGGAAAGCAGTCTCCATCCTCATTGGCATTGTCTTGTTGCCATTTGTGTTGGCCAGCTTTCCATTGCTGTAGTAAAACACCTGAAATCATCAACTGAAAAAAAAGGAGGGCTTTTGCCACGCATAGATTTAGAGGTCCCTGACTGGTTGGCCCCTTTTGTGGTACAGCTCATTGTGAGATCATGTGAGGAGAAAGCTGGAAGGGACCTAGTCCAGATCTGCCCTTGGAGAGCACACTCCCAATGGCACTGCTGGGCTGGGGGCGGAGCCTTTAACACACGGACTTTTGGTGACGCTTGTGCAAGCCATAGTGCCCTCATCCTTCTGGGTGGGTCTCAGCAGGTGGCTCCTCAGCCTTGTGACAGTACTGTCATTAACCAGCTCATCTTTTCTCAGGACATATGCAGTCCCGCAGTGGACACAGCTAAAGCTCAGCCTCGGTTCCTGTCCTAGTTCACCTGAACCCAAGCAATCACACTCTTTAGGCCAATCTCTTTGCAGAATGAAATGCAGTGTGTCCCCAGGGCCTGGAGAGCTAGGCTTCCTGGGAATTTGAAAAAAAAAGAAAAGCTCCAGGTAACTTCTAAGAGACCTAGTAACAGTTTTTTGCTTGTCTATCATTTATTTTTAGTAACAATACAAGAGTTACAATGTGTTCAGCTACAAAGCAGCTGTAATTTTATCCTCCTTTGCCAAGAGAAGAGGCCAGTGAAAGAAAAATGGGAACTGTTGGGTGGACTTCTTGGAAAGTTTTGTAACAGAGCTCACTCAGCTAGCAGATGCCATTCCTGTGCCTGGCCATTTCTTCTTACCGAGACTCAGATTTGAGGGCTAGAGGAGCAGCGGCCATGTTGTGTCTATGAGGTAGCTTTGAGGAGAGAATAGAAAGACGGGGGTACAGGTGCCCAGTGGCATCCTGGAGCTGCCAGAGTAGGTTTAGGCGAGTGACATGCCTTGAGAGGGAGCCCGTGTTTTGCTGGGGCCACTGTTGCTTTTGCATCTTATTGTTGGTAGTTAACCACAAGCGTTGATAGACCCCGATGGCCTCCAGGCTGCTGATCAGCCTCCCTGCCTTAAACTTCACCCAGCTGCTGCAAGCCACTCTCCACCTGGACGCCAGCAAGCTCCTTACACACAGATCTGGTGAGATCCCTCTGCCTCCTTGAGTCCTTCAGTGGCCTCCCAGCACCTCCAGGTAAAATCCATGTGCTGCTGGGGACACTTCACAGAGCGCAGCCTTGTAGCCTGTCCCCTCCCCAGATAGCTGTGCTCCACACCCAAGACACCCACCAAGCCCACCCACGCTCGTCCTCTCCCTCCTTCTCCCCTTCCTCTTCTTCTTTTTCTTCTTCAACACAAATGTTTTTCATTTAAATCGAGAAATAAAAAACCCCAGCATTTCACTGGAGATGATTAAAGGATTTATAGCTACCTGCTGTAATAACAGCAGATCAATTCTAACAAATATTTCACAATGTATGAAGCAGTGTCCATTGTCTTTTGTGGCTTTCAGAGCAAAATATAAATGTAGCCTAAAATGTTCTCTTTATTATTAATGAAGTTCTCAGTGTAAAATTCAGATCTGAGGTGTAGTGACTCAAGTTTTCCCAGGACTAACACTGGTGACTCACCATCTGTCCCACAGTGTCCATTACAGAGCGTGACATTTTATCCTTACATCATACCGCTGTGCGCCGCAGTGTCCCAGGACACCCCACCAACGTGCTCACTGTAAACCTTTAATCATTCAGGAATTAGTCTTCATTATGGGGTCCTACTAATTAATCTTTAATTGCAGTGATGGAATGTGGGGGTGGGGAAAGATGAGAGGAGGAGGGGGACTATAAAAATAATGAAGATTTGATATGTATATTTACTAAGATAAACGTAATTACTACGCATAACAAACACGCCAATAAGAAAGAAAATACGGTCTCCCTTTGTTCACTTCCAGACTGTTCAATGCTTTCCAGGGCAGAGCTGCTGCTTTCCTATAATAGAAGAAAACAGTGGTCAAAAGAGTTTCATAGATGTAACATAAAATAATATTCGATTATTTTTTTTTATCGGTACTGGGGATCCAGCTCACGACCACCTGCTTGCAAGGCAGGTGCTTATGCCGCTGAGTAAAACATCCTCACTGCTGTCCCAGGGCTTCTGATAGCAACCAACCTTCTACCGGAAGTATGCTGGGGGTGCTCCTTGGCCCTCAGTACCTACCTCGAAAGCCGCCTCCCACAGGAAGCCCTTCCTGATTCCCACAGGGAGAGCCCCTGCTGCCAGCAAGCTCTTTGTAAAATGTTTCTGATTTGTAGCATTCTCTGTGTCCAGTCCTCAGGACTGGGAGCTTCTCCAGAGGACAGAGCCTTATCTGTCCCTGTACTCCAGCACTCAGCGAGTCCTGCCTGAACAAGTAGGTAGATAGCTGAATGGATGCTGGCACCTTCACCCTTCACCTGCTGGAGCTTTGAGACTATGCAGAGTTAGAAGAAGGAGCCAGAGCTGAGAGCAGGCTCCTGGAGTGGTGCCCACACTGCTGCACGGAGGGGCACAGACCGTGGAGACTGCACACAGAGTCTCACACTCAGGCCACCCCACAGCCCATCAGCTGCTGCCCCAGGGAAATTCCCAGAAACAGGAAAACTCCAGACTGCTCCTGGGTTCCAGAGAGCATGCCAAGGCCCTAGCTGCCCATGGAAATCCTGTGAGACCACATTTCCCAGCAACACAGAAGCCAGTCTCCCGATCCTCCAGGGCAGGAAGAGCACTCAGGCCATATCACCACGTCCCACGACGGCCCAGGGAGAGGGTGTGTGCCCAAGGTCACACAGCAGTCGCAAGGCAGGACTGGAGCAAGCCCACCTCCTATGGGGCAGCTGCTCCCAGAAGCATCCAGGCATTGGCAGGGGTGACAAATTCCAGGGGCCCCACGGAGAGACAGCAGCCTGGGCAGCAAGGGGCAAGCCTGTCCCTGGTGGTGGCTGGGGAGTGCCAGGCCAACATCCACGCACGGGGCTGCAGGCCAGCGGCAGCCCCCTTTAAGGAGCGCTCGGTCTTCCAGAAGTACTGCGGTCTTAATTTTAGCTTGGAGGCCTGCCATGGCAGCTTTACCCAGAGGCAGGCTGGAGTTATGTGGGACAGCTGTCCGCCGGCATGCTGGGTGGGGCCTGGTAGCCGTAGGGCACAAGTCTGGGGACCCTGAACTGCTCTTCCTGCCCCAAGGATTTTTCACCCCACCGGCTGCAAGGCTCAGACCTCTGCCACCCCCGGCGACAGCTCTATGATGATGGCGGAAGGGCACACAGACTTGGAGGCCCAGATCGTCAAGGACATTCACTTTAAGGAGATCGACCTGGTGAACAGGGATCCCAAGAACATTAACGAAGACATCGTCAAGGTAGGCTCTACAGCCCAGGTGGGTGGCACCCCGTCCACTTCCTCTCAGTCCTCAGGCAAATGAGCAAAGGCTTGTAAACTCCAATTTTAGCATAAACAGGAGCAAAAACTGAGGTGCACGTACAGCCCAAGTACTGCCTGGGCGGTGGGAAAGCAAGGCTCAGAAATGCCTCCCTGGCCCAGGGCAGAGGTGCCGGCTCTGGCCTGGCCTCAGGCATGGCCCCTGCCCCGGAGGAATGGGAACTGGTGTTAACTCAGGCTGTTTTCCATACTAGGAGGCCGCCGTGGCTCTGGGGTGGGTTGCAGGTTCATCTCTGGCCGGCAGCTCCCAACAAGGGCTGGCGGCCACTTGACTGGACTTTTGCTCCCCAGGGCACTCACTGCCCAGGGTCTGTCCCTGGCCTGTGGGCCTCACCCAGCTCCCTCCTCACAGCAGGTCTGGTGCCCACACCGGGCACAGCAGGTAGTAAATAGACTACTTTTTAAGAGCAGCTTTAGTTTAGGGCCCCAGAACTGGAGTGCTCAGACCTGCCCAGCTTCAGGGAGCAACCCTAAAGCCCCTGCCTGATGCCAGGCCTCTCCTTACCCAGCACAGGAGCAGCCAGGCTGCCCCAGGCCCACACCCTTAACCCAGGAGCCAGGGGTCCTTCTAAAGGCAACCTCTCAGAGCAGTTCCCCAGCCTCCAACAGGGCCAGCTCTGGAGTAGTAGTGACCCAGGTGGGTGGCTGGGCCAGGACCTCAGACCAGCACCATCCCGCAGGAATGCGGTGTTTTTTACATTAACAGTGGCACAGTCATTTATTAGGACTGTATACAAAGCATAAACTGGTGCAGCACCTTTCTGCATGATACTCACATGATGATTTATTTTCATGTATTGATTTTTTTCCTCTTTGTGGTACTAGAGAGGGAGCCCAGGGCCTTACTTGTGACAGCAAACGTCCAGCCCTGAGCTTTCCTTCCAGCCCAAAAGTTACCTTTTTAGTAAATAGATTTCTTTTTTAGAGCAGCTTTAGTTTAAGTTAATAAAAAGTTGAACATAAAGAAGGTAGCTTCCCTACATATTCAGCTGCCCTGGAATTTTAATCCAGCAGCCACATTTTAAAAAGGAGACTCAGCCAGGTGTGGTACATGCTGTAATTCTGGCTAGTTGAGTGGCTGAGGCAGGATGATCATGTATTTCAGGCTACTGTGGGCAACTTAGCCTGTTTGAAAACTTTAAAAGTGCTGGCGGAGTAACCCTCAAACCACCAAAAGAAGAAAAAACAAGGTAAATCAAACAGACAAAATTATTTATCACTAGCTTAACCATAACTACCCAGACTAGTGTAGCTTCAACATATTACTGACAGAAAGTTTTATCAGTGAACAATTGTACCATCTTTCTTCACCTTCAAAACCCAGTAAGGTTATCGTGCTGCCCGTACTTAATTTGGACTCCAAATTTCATTTGAAACCGTGCTGTGTATTTAGAGGCCATAAAATGTATAGCTGAAGATAAATTTGCATGCCCAAACTGTCCCAAGCATTATTAAAAGTTTTCCAGCAATGGAACCGAATATCTACTTTATGCTGTAATTAAAATTAAATGGGGTTTAGAATTCAGAGGCACAAACCACATCTGAAGCACACCGAGCCGGCGGTCACTGGACTGGACAGGCGGCCCAGGGCCCTGGCACTGAGCCCCAGGCTTCCTCTGTCCGGGGCGCCTCTCCCAAGAAGAAGACTAATAATCGTGCTAGGCGGATTCCACCTGCCACGACGGGGCTCCTGCCCCTCCTCCTGCCTGCCTTGCTACCCATCAGAACACACCCTGTCCTCCTCGTGGCTAAAGCTCCTCTGCCTTCAGGGCCCAGCTCAAAATCCACCTCCTCCTGGAAGCCCTCCCTCCCCCCGTCCTCCACGCCCCTCTCCTGGGAGCCCCTCAGCCGCAGTTCATGCTGTCTGGGTCCTGTGTCACAGCAGTGAGAGCTGCAGGAGGACACCAGGAAGCAAGCTTCTCAAACTGTTGCCCACTGTCTAAAAGTGAGACAGCGCCAGTGTGGTTTCCACAGCGAGGTCTGGCAGGCGTGGTCCTGGACTCAGCTTCAGCAGACCTGATTTCAAATTCAGACTCTTTCACCTAAAAACAACACAGGAGCTGTCACCTCCACCCCCTTCTATATAGTCATATCACTGAACTCCTCAGGGAGCTGAGCCTCAGAGCATCCATGTGCCACAGCAGGTCAGGGAGGATGGGACGGGGTGGGACAGGAGCTTGCCGACACACAGCCAAGCTGTGAGAAAAGTGAGCTGCACAGGGACCACAGGGTCTTGCAGCTGGGGCCACAGAACTGAGCTGTGGGCACCTGGGGATGGATGTGAGGAGTCCTCAGGAGAACACGGTCCCAGGGAGACCCCAATTGGTGGTGCACACAGAGGAGACTCTGGGTCATACTGAGCCAGAAGGGAGCCAGGTCCAGGCTCCAGGCCCAGATTATAATCCAAAGAGACAGAAGCATAATGTCTGGCTTTTGCAGCCTTTTTGGGACTGAGAAGAGTCCTCTCCTGATGGCCTTGTGGCCATGAGCTGCAGAAAAAAAGCTCCCACCAGCCAAGGCAAAGTTCCTGCAAATGAATTTGTCAAGAAGAGACTGTTAATATGGCATTGGGTGGGTGTTCTTTGGTTTGTAGAGTTACTTGATGTTTTCTCTTTATTTTGTTTTCAGTGAGCCAGAAATGAAAAGTTTAGGAATATAGAACATAGATCCTAAAGCAGCATAAGACAAATAGAACCAATAGAATAGCCAGCTTCAGGGTAACTTTGGGCTTTGGATATAGTCTGATAGAGGAATGGCGGGCTAGAAGGCACTGGAGGGCCTGCTGCACAGGACAGCCTTCTGCTGGCCCTGGGAGACGGTCAGCAGAAGGACAAAGGGAAGGGAGAGAGGCCTGGGAGAAACAGGGCCAGACAGGGACCAGAACAGTGCCCGAGTGGATGGCGGCCTCATGCTGGCAGTAGGGTCTTTGTGAGCCAGGAGAGTGACACAGAATGGACCCAGCTACAGGGACCCTGGCTCTGACACTTACTTGCTGTGGGCTCTGGGAAAGCTCCTTCCTCTGGACCAGAGCCACTGGGACATAGAGAGGCAGGGTGGACAAGTGGGAAATGCCATCCCCTCTGTCTCCAGCTGCTAAGACTTCACTCCACAAAGCCGAGGGAGAAGAGCAAGAAACAGACCCACTGTGTTCACGGCTCTGACCCTACAGAGAGAGGTGCTATACTTGGCGCTGCCCTTGAACTCAGGGTGGTAAATGAATGTCAAAGGCAGAGAGAGAGAGAGAGAGAGAGAGAGAGAGACCTGCATTTAAACTGTAGTCTTCTACCATGGGGCCAGGCACAGAGCAGAGCAGAAGGTCTTGGAGCTGGAGTGCACACCCCACACCCTTTCCCACCAGCCATCATGGCCAGTAGACCCTCAGACTCTCACGGAGCACCTGCTGTGTGCAGGCAAGGTGTCTCGGAGGAGAAGGCGTGAGCTGCTCGGGCGCTGCACCAGGCTTGGCAGGAAGTGAATGCGTGGCCAGCTCTGGGCTTCCCAGCATGCCTGTGGGCACCCTAAGGATCCCTCCTTCACTCCCAGGTTATGGAGGCTCCAGCCCCTCCTGCATGCATGCCTCAGGGCACCAGCCCCACCTGTCATTTGTGTGAGAGAGAAATAACAGAGGGTGACAGTCTAGTTCTGCACACCCCTGCTCCCAGTTTGGGCAGATTTGCAATAGCCTGGTGCGGACAGATGAAACTGACCTCGTACCTCCACTTGAAGAGAATCCAGCTTAACGGAGATGATGGCCAAGAAGAAGGAGGTCACACAGGGAAGGTGCTAATCTAAGCGAGTGCCAAGTGGAGCGCTGCAGGAGGAGGAAGTTCCTTTCTGAGAAAAGGAGAGCCAAGTCCATGTGAAGACAATGTCCAAGTTGTATTTGTAAAATGAGGAAAATGAAAAATGTGGGGTGGAGAAACAGGTTTTCCAAGAAGAAAGGGAACAGGCAGAGGTGTGGAGGTTTTTTGCAACACTCACAGAATATTGGCAGAGCTGGTGACCGTCGCCTTTGTGTATTCCTGTTACCCCTCCTCACGCGCACAGCAGACATTACTAATCTATCTCAGCATGTCTCCAGGAAGCCAGGCCCCGTCAGCGGCTCAGAGCTGACACAACAGATGTAACCTCTTTGCTACTCTGATTGCAGAGCTGAGGAAGGAAAATAGGACCTGAAAGGCAATTTGTGAGGAGAGAACACGAAGAAAGGCAGAGACTGAGTCGCAGAGACTCGTACAACCCACTGGTCGCCCCACAGTGCAGTGCTTTCCTTTGGGAATGCCTTATCCTCACCAGTGACCCCTAGAACACACTGCACAGGACTCATTCTCACTGAGGTATTGTGATTATTGTCGTGGGAACTTGTGGGAATCGACTGGTCTGGATATTTTCAAATGGTGGCCCACTTTCCTGGGATACTCGTTGCAGGATCTTAGCCCCCTAAAACTTCTTAGGCAGCGGAGTTGGAATGTTCTGTACGCTCATGCTCTAGGATCATGAATAAGTCTACCTTGGCACATAGAAGCCATATCTGGAGCCCAGAGTTGTCACCTGCTTTCCCTAAAGACTCAGCATATCAGTTACGGATTGCTGCATAACAAATTTCCCCAACAGCCATTCAAGGCTGCTGAAGCTCCACAGGCCTCACGGGGGCTCTCTCACAGCTGCAGTCACATGGTAGCTGAGGCTCGAATGCCTCTGCAGGCTCCACTGAGCTGACACATGCAAGGTGGCTCAGGGCATCATGCAAGATGGTACCAGGGCATTGGCACTGGAAAGGAGCAAGAAAGGAGGAGGTCCGGCCGGGCCCTTGTGCTCTAGCAGCTTTGGGCCTCTTTTTGCTCATGACTTCTCCGCCAGAGCCAGGTGGCAGTGGAGCCTTAGAGCAGGCTCCTAACACCTCTGGCCTCTTGAACATAGCATAAAACTGAACTTCAAACGTGGTGGCTCAGGACTCCGAAAAGCAGAAACTGTCAACCTTCTCAAGGTTTCATTCTGACACTGCCACAGCGGTCCCTGTGGCCCACTGTGGTGGCTACAGTGAGTCCTACTGCAGGCCCAGATTCAGGAGGGCCTGGGACAACCACATATACCAACATTAAGAGGCAAGACTCCCTGAGGTCGTCTCACCCACCACAAGTAGTGAGCAGCTGAGAACCCCACCCAGGGCCACAGCCCCGCTGCCAGCTGCCCTGCAGAGGGAGGCAAGAGGAAGCAGGGCCCAGCCAGAGCACAAGAGCCAGGTCCCCCAGGGGAAGGTGCTGTTCTGAAGCTGCTTCCAGGTCCCTCCCACGAAGGCAGTTCTCCTCACGCTGCAGCCTGCAGGTAGCCCAGGCCACCCTGAGAGTGCCTGCCATCGCCTGTCCCTGTTCAGGGCCTCACACGCCGCTGGGTACTGGCCCCTCTGATAACAGAGGCACAGAGACTAAGGGAGACTCGGACATATGCTGTGACGTCGGACTGATTAGGATTCACCCTCATCGGCCCTTGGTGCAGTAAGACACCGGATATTGACCAGAACTGGCATTTATGAGGACTAAATGCTCTAGGGTGTTACTCTGGTTACCTCAGATTTTATGGAATTTTATTATTATTATTATTTCCATGCCTAATAAAGGAAGCAAAGCTTTGCCATTGTTAACCCATTTGTGTATGTATCACCTTAGCTTAGCTTCTAATTTCATAGGATCAGTGGTTCTCAGGGTACCTGGGGAAAGGATTGGTTTTACTACTAGTATTTCAATCCACTGTGCACTAGTACTTTAGTAAAATACAATAAAAATTAATTACTGGGGGAAATAAATTGAAAATAGTCATGTCAATATAAGTCTCATTTTTTACTATTATTATTAGAAGTGAAATTACTGTATCAAATTGAAGGCTTGAAAGACTTTGCTCTCGAATGCTGTACTCACCTGGTCAGGAAAAGGACGGAGGAGACACTCACTGTGGACAGCCTTTTAAGTAGCCAGTTTGTAGGCAAGGAAACAGTCCAGCGAATTTCAGCCACTTGCTCAAGTCGTTTGACTGTACAGTTAACTCTGTGCCCCTAAGGATCTTGTAACCCCCTCTGGGTAGAGCGGAACAACCACCACCACAATAAAATCCCCAAACAAAGAGAAAACCCAGCCCAAGCCAACCTACAAGCAAAACTCCAGGAGCCCAGGAAGGGAAAGCACAATGCCCCAGTGGCACAGTGACTCAGTGACTAAGCAGACAGAAACTGAGTGGCTGCCCCCAGGTGGAAGTCCCATCTGAGCTGTCCAGGGTCCTAGACACCCAGGGCCTGCCCCACCCAAGACTCTGGGGAAGTGTTTTGGACAGAAGTGGCCGCTGCCCTCCCCCACATCCTCCCACACCCCTGTGCCCTGTCGGGAGCTGCAGCGTGGGCTGACTGGTTCCCATTCACCAGCTGCTTTTCTTGACGTTCCAAAAATAGATAAGCCAGAAAAGGGGACACCAACTGAATAAATAGTCGTGGCGTCCCCTTGCTGCCCTCCTGTCCCTCTCCCAGCTGTATATAAAGCTGGTGCTAAACTGCTAAATTAAGGCCCCCAGCTCCTGCCTCTGAGAAAAACACTATCTCCTCTCTGCTTCTGGAAAGGAATTAAGGGATGAAATCACTGTTTACTTGTTGTGGCCATGGCTAGACTTTCTCAGTGCTCAACCCGAACTAGGGGAGCAGTTGTCTGCCTCCTCCCAGCAGGGCGCGGGCCTCAGGAAGCGTGCTCTCTGATTCAGAAAAATCAGTGCGGTTTCCCTGTGCTCAGAACCCAAAGGCAATCCTTGGAATTGGTTCGAATGCCAGCGCCAACAGCTTTTGTGAAGAAATCATCGTTGAAAGAACAGATAGATCCTTGGGGTGGATTTATTACCACAAGCAGAAAATGAGAGAAAGGAGGATTCCACCTGTCTTATCAGCTCAAATGAGACCCAGAGGCAAACATTTATGACTAGGTAGGCTAAAGAATCATTCTACTTAGGCTCTGAAGTGTCGGTAGAATTTCAGAGATATATTTTCATAGGAACTTTAGAGCATTTGAACAAATAACTATCAACGATGTGTCAGGCATTGTACGAAGGTCTCCCCAGGAGCTACCAGCCTAAAATTCAGGAGCTTCTCTATAACTGTTTGTTTGTTTGGATGGATGAATGAATGGGTGGATACATAGAAAGGAAGATGGCTGGCCAATCAGATAGATGGGATAGATTAGTGGGTAGGTAGAAATATGGATGGTTAGAAATAGACTGGGTGTGTGGGTGGATGGATGATGGACGGATAGAAAAGAGAACGGGTAGATGGGTGGATAGATGGTTACTTGGATGGGCAGATGAATATATATTTGTATTTAAGTCCAGTGATTATCTTTTCCACTTCCCACACGAGCCCCGGTCACATCTTCAGTGGGATGTGGTGACAAGTTGTGAATGCCCCTGTTCCCTGCGGTGACAAAGCTGGCTGGCGGAGGTGGAGGCAGAAGGCCTGAGATTGCTGCAGGGCTGGGGCCAGGAAAGGAACTCGGCCTCCCTTGCAGGCTGGGCCACTCGGGTCTAGATACCTCTGCAGCCGGGGAGGTTCATCACCGGGGTAGACCTCACTTACTATGGCCAGAGCAGCTCCAGCCCACGCACCTCTGTCCACACTGCTGAGACAATGTACCAGGCTCCACCATGTCCTCACTCGGCCTTGCCGCTGCTCCTCCTAACCCAGCCAGATCTGACCACAGCACTCCCTGCATAGCAGCCTCCCGAGGTCTCATGCACTGGGTTGCCAGCTGCTCCTTCTGGCCTCACACTGGCATCTCTGGGCTTGCACCTGGCCTCCTGGGGACCACACTGTACTGTTCATGAATTCCCAGTGGTTTCTCTCCACGGGCTTTTCTAGCTGGTCACCTGCAGACGTCAGTTTCCTGATGTCTTCCTCCGGAAGAGCTTCTAATGCTCCCCACCCATCTGAACTAACCTTCCTTCTTGGGGGCACAAATACCTTGTTGCTCTCCAAGCCTCCCCAGTACAACTACCTGCTGGGCCCACCACCATCATACACATGGGTGCTCAATTGATTTTCATGGGATGAGGATGATTGTTCAGCTCTTCTAGGATCACAACCTAACAGAATTTGGGAGCTATAGCAAATATGGTACTGCCTCAGTTCACAAACAAGTCAGTTTATAAACAAAAACATTTGGCAAAATTTAGTTTTCATTCACAAACTTCAGTGGGAGGCAAACACAAATGAAGCCATTTTCCCCAAATCACAAGACAAATTAAGTTTGTAAAGTGAGACGCCACTCACCTGAGTTGGTTGGCTCAGGAAAGGAATTTATTTTGGTTCATCCTTTTAGGATTTGATTGGCCTGCTGTTTTGGGGCTTATGTCGAGGCAGTCACATAATGAGACAGAGCAAAGCTGTTCACTTTTGTGGGCAGGGAAGAGAGACACAGAAGTGGGCCAGGTCCCCATAGTCCCCTGTCAATGACAAGACCCCCCACTCCACCTCCCAGTAGCACCCCGCTGGGTGTCAGGCCTCACACTAGTTTCCAGTAAGAGCCCTAACTTACTGCTGGCCTGATGCAAGGCACTCACTTTGAGGCCTGCTTATCCATCCATGGATGAGGAGGTTGGTGAGCTCTCCACTGTACCCTGCCATTCTAGGGGGTTAAACAGCCAGGCAGATGACCAGTCATATCACCCCCATCCCTAGGGGTGTGTGGGAAGTGCAAGGTCCCAACCCACCCAGAGCTACTGAGTCAGAGCCTTCCGTGGATGGGGTCCAGCCCTCTGGGCTTATCCTGCCCCCAAGGGGTTCTGATGCACATAGCAGAAGCTGGGGAGTGTGGCATGCTGTGGGTGACCATTGCCCTTCCTGCTCCTGCAGGTGGACTTTGAAGATGTGATCGCAGAGCCTGTGGGCACCTACAGCTTTGACGGCGTGTGGAAGGTGAGCTACACCACCTTCACTGTCTCCAAGTACTGGTGCTACCGGCTGCTGTCCACGCTGCTGGGCGTCCCACTGGCCCTGCTCTGGGGCTTCTTGTTTGCCTGCATCTCCTTCTGCCACATCTGGGCAGTGGTGCCGTGCATCAAGAGCTACCTGATCGAGATCCAGTGCATCAGCCACATCTACTCACTCTGCATCCGCACCTTCTGCAACCCGCTGTTTGCGGCCATGGGCCAGCTCTGCAGCAGCATCAAGGTGATGCTGCGGAAGGAGGTCTAAAGTCAGGAGGTGGGAGATGGGGTGGCGGGGCGGGATCAGGCCAGGCAGCCCTGCTACCATTCCATGGAGGGCAGGAGAGAGCAGGAGAGCTCTTTCTCCTTAGAGACTGCTCCATTCCTCGCCCCCAACATGGGGGTACACCATGTAGGGGAGCTGGAAGATAACCCAGCCTGGCCTCCCAGGCAGCACCATGGCCCTCACTCTGCATGCCCAGGAGCAGCCTGGGTCAGAAGACGTGTACTACGAGGCAGCTACTGCAAGTCTTTGTGTCCATGTGTACTGTGACCAGCAGGGGCTCCCACAGTCCACACACGCCCAGGAAAGTGACCAGTGACTGTGGGTGTGAGAAAGGGACCCCAATAAAGGTTTCAGCTGCATGGGCAGGAGGTGTCTTGTCTGTTTGTGGTGTCCTGATTCCCTCCGAAAGCCCAGCTCACTGTCCCGGGAAGGAAGCAGGTCCGGCTGCTCGGTCCTTTCCCAGGCAAAAGGAGGTCCAGGATCGAGCACGCTTCTCCTTAGACTGTACTTGCTGCTACTCACCCTTCCTCACCGGGAGATTGTCTTCAAACGGTTTCTGCTCACCTTGAGCCAGAAAATGGGCACCAACAGAAGAAATCCTGTGAGCTGGCGGGGTGGGGCACTCTGTGGATATTGGGTGCGGGCCCTGGCCTCAGACCCCTCCGGACCTCCCTTGCAGACACTGAGCCCTGGACGTGTATGGCCCTGCCCCCGGGCACGTTTCCTATCAGCCCGAGGAGGTGTGCTGACAGCACACAGCCCAGTGCACACGTGTGTGCCCTCCAGGGAAAGACAGAAAGTGAGGAGGTCCCACTTATCATCTCTAAAAGCGAAAAACATAGAAACCTAGCATCTCACATCTCCAGGGCTAGTTTCCCAAGGGTGCCACCCAGAACAGATTCTCCAATAGAAAAAGTTGGGAGGGGTTAGCCTCCAATGGCTAAATTTGTTTGGAAATATTGTATATTTCTTTGGAGAGCTTCAGTGAACACTAGCACAGTAAAGGCTCTGTGAAGTTCTATAGTAAAGAAAACAGCTCAGGTCATGCACCCTTCATCATATTGGATGCTTTTCTTTCTTCTTTTTCTTTTCTTCTTTCTTTCTTTCTTTCTCATGCAACACCAATTTAAGACTTATGAAACAAAAAGTCCAAGGCATTTCTCGGGGTCTGGAGGGCCATCATCTCTTTGCTGCTGGCCATAAGCCCAGGGCTCTTTGGGGACAGGGTGGCAGTGTAGACCACGCGTAGACCAGGGCCCAGGACACAGACCCCAGAATGCTTCTCTTCCTAGTTGCCGTCCCCAGTCTAAATTTCATCATCCTCAAATCATCTCTGTTACCTACTCAGCTGTAAATGTGGCCCTGTTTCTGTTTTTTCTAACACCTGATGTAATGTGTACACCAGGAGATGTTGAAAGTGGCCGTGAACTCCTCCAACATGTCCACTGTCTTGGTGTTTTATCACATAGCCGTCCAAACTCCCTTCTAACAATCTACAACTCACCTCAACGCTTTCAAATAAGTTGAAGAAATCAGTACACTTTACCCCCAAACAGCTCGTTTAAGTAGATGAAAAGTTTACAGCCCAGGGAGGTCAGCAGACTTGCCAAAAGACAAAATCTCCATGTGAGAAATATTTATTAAAGTCCCTTCTAGGTGACATCTAGGCTCTTAGATTGTGACACATGGTAGGGTTTGTTTCAGAGTCTTACACTGTCTCCCAAAAGATGAATGATGCACTCAGGACTCCAGAGAAGAGGACCAGGTCCCCACTGCTCCTACCTTAGCCCCTGTTACCTGTCAGACAGGTAACACCAAAGCCTGCCATCAAACTGGACTTTGAAGGCCACTGGACTCGGCCCTGAGCTTGGGAGGGGAAAAAGGAGGCAAAGCCATATACAAAAAACATGTTTATTAAGTTCACTTTTTACAAAGCAGACATCTCAAGATTGGTCACAGCATTCACCGAATGGCACAGTACACGCAGCACCATGGAAAGTCACCACAGTAGAAAGAAACCAGGGAATCTTACTGTGTGTTAAGTGGCATTTTGTTGCAATTGAACACATAAAAAGTTGAAACACTCTAGAAATGGGATCTTTATCAAATCCAGCTAGCATTTAGGGTCTCCTGTGTTTCCTGAACACTCATCCACACCATGTAGACTCATCCACCAAGGAGATCACATTATGTGACATATTTTTTTTCAGGGCCTACGGGGAAAGTCTTGGACTTTACCTACTTACTGCTTTCCCTAGTGCTGCTGAGATATGCACCCAGGGCCATGCACACCCGAGGCAAGTGCCCTGCCACTGGCTGCACCCTAAGCTGTTTTAATTATGAGACAGAATCTCACTAAGTTGCCCAGGTTGGCCTTGAACTTGCAATCTTCCTACCTCAGCCTCCCTGGTAGTTGGAATTACAGACATGTACCACTGTGCCGAGCTACATACTCACTTTTGATGATTGTGCCTGCGTGTGTGTGTGTTGCAGTGTGGAAGGAAAAGCTGTTATGAAGAGATAGAATGGATCTGTGGCTTCCCAGAAAACCTCTTGTATCTCAGAAAGTCCCAAAATGTATCTGAATATTAAAAGGTGCCCCTGCTGTATTAGCTGGCCAATCAATACAATGCCCTCTGATCAGTTGTGCCCTGAATTTGATACCTAAAAGCGTCTTCTAGACACAGTCAGTCCTACCCCAAAGGCTGAGCTGATGTCTGAGAACATGCCTATCTGATAAGCAGAACCTTAGAGACTCTTCGTGAACTGCTGCCATAATGAGACCACGGCCATCCCAGGTGACTGAGCATCCCTTAATAAGCTTTCTGAAGACAACGGTGTTTTCCTGATGGACCCCTGGCCAAAGTGGAGATGCTCTCTCTCACATAAGTTCAGAAGTAGTGGGTCACATAAAACAGAAGCACTCAGAAAGAAGAGAGATTCCAAGAAATTCTCTGCCATTCTTACCTTCTCTGAATTCAGCTGTTAAACCTATTTTTAATTTTTTAGTGTACAGTTCAATGGTTTTACATAAGTTCTCAAAATTGGGCTTACTACCACTAATTCCAGAACATTTTCATCATCTCTCCCCTCAAAAAATCTCATATCCTTAAACAATCACCCCTCGTTTCCCCAAATCTCCAGCCCCAAGTACCTCTAAACTGTATTCCACGTGTATGTATTTGTCTGTTCTGGACATTCCATAGAAATGAGTCAGACAATGCAAGAGATTATCACGACACGATGTTTAAGTTTTTCAAAGTACAGTAAAAGACACATTGTCATTAATTCCCTTCGAATAACCCCTCACTTTAAAAAATTACCCAATCATGCATGTCACTTTCAGAAGCAGATCAGAGTCCTTTCAAATTATGATCAAAACTACGGTGAGTGCTGCTCTCAGCAGCACCCACAGAAATGCAAGCTCCTAAAGACAGGGCCTCCTGTGCTCACCCGCCTTACTCACTAGGTCTGGCAGCAGGCAGCGTCTGGCTCTTCCCCAAAGTCAAAACGCTAGAAAAGATGAATGTTCTGAATCACCTCAGGACATCGAGGCTGCCACACAGCACAGCTAAGAACACTTTTGTGGAAAGGAAGCTTTCCAGAGCTGCTTCAGAAAATGACAAGAATGATGAGGTAAGTGTGTCTGAAGTGAGTGTTTTCATTAATTGTAATGAACTTTTATTGTAAAAATGTTTTAGGAATTTAAATATTCACTGTATTTTCTGACTATATCTTACACATGGCTTTTTTGCAACCAGCTTGTCACCTGACATAATGTTTTTAAACTTCATCCGTGTTATAGCATGAATCAACATTTCATTTTGTAGCTGATTAATGTCCTACTATATAGACATTCTATATTTTATTTATGTGCTCACCAGCTGATAGACATTTGAGTATTTCCTCTGGGATGTAATGAGCATTGGTGTACAAGGTTTTCACTTCTCATGAAACACCTCTCACAAACACCTATGAGTGCAGGGTTTTCCTGTGGCAATTCTATGCTTGACTGTGTAAGGAACTGTCAGGCTGGTTTCCACAGGACCTACACCATTATATTTTTACCAGCACATATAAAGGATCCAGTTTCTATATATTCTTTTTTTTTTTTTTATCAGTACCGGGGATCGAACTCACGACCACCTGCTTGCAAGGCAGGTGCTTATGCCGCTGAGCTAAATCCCAGCCCCATAATTTCTATAATTCTTGTCAGCACTTACCATTACCCATTCTTTTGACTGTAGCCTTCCCAACAGGTGTAAAGTAGAATCTCAGTATATTTTGACTTGCATTTTTCTAACAAATAAATAATGTTAAATATTTTTGCATGAACCTATTGACCACTTATGTATCTTCTTTGGAGAAATGCTTATCCAAACTTTTTGCCTATTTTTAAATTGGCTTCTTTTCCTCATTTTTTAAATTTATTTTGGTGGTGCTGGGGATCAAACACACAGTCTTGCTTATGCTAGGCAAGTACTTTGCTACTGAGCTACATCTCCAGCTGGCTTCTTTTCTTTCTATTTATTTATTATATTAAGAGTTCTTTATATAGTCTATTTACAAGTCTTTGTTGTATGTGATCAGCAAGTATCTCCCCCATTCTGTGGGTTGTCTTTTTACTCTGTGGATAGTGCTCCTGAAGTATAAAACTTTTAAGTTTTGATGAAATTCTACCTATAATTTATTCATCCTTTGGTTGTTTGTGTCTTTGATATCATTTCTAAATAATCATTGCCTACTCCAAAGTCACAGATTTGTCCCTATTTCACTGTAGAAAGGTTATACTTTAGCCAGGCATAGTGATGCACTCCTGTAACCCCAGCACTCGGGAGGCTGAGGCAGGAGGGTCATTGCTAGTTTGAGACCAGCCTGGGCTACAAAGTGAGCTTAAGGCCAGCCTGAACTGCATAGTGAGACCCCATCTCAAAGAAAGAAAGAAAGAAAGAAAGAAAGAAAGAAAGAAAGAAAGAAAGAAAGAAAGGTCATACTTTTAGCTGCCACTTGTAGGTCTTTGATGAACTTCTGTATATGGTGTAAAAGCCCAACTTCATTCTCTTGCCTGTGTATATCCAACACCATTGGCTACATTATGCCTTTCCTCTTAAATCATCTTGGCACCTTGTTGAAAATGAATTGACTGGGTGGCTGGGGATTTAGCTCAGCGGCATAAGTGCCTGCCTTGCAAGCAGACAGTCATGAGTTGGATCCCTGGTACCAATAAAAAAAAAAAAAAAAGAAAATGAATTCACTACAAATTCTCAAGGTTGCTAATTGAACCCTTCATTCTATTATATTGTTCTAGGTGTCAATTCATAAGCAAGCACCAAACTGCTTTGATTATTGTAACTTTATAGTAACTTCTGAAACCAGGAAGTGTGATTCCATCAACTGTGTTTTTTTTTCCAAAGCTTTTTTGTTATTGTTATTTTGGGTTCCTTACATTTCTTTATGAATTTTAAGATTATCATACTAGTTTCTTCAAGACAATTAGGATTTTAATAAAGATTGTAGCAAATCTCTACAACAATTTGGACAACATGATTTAACAGGAAAGGCATAATCTAGCAAATGTTGTTGGGAAATCTCCGATAGCTGTGAATACAGGACATCTTTCCATTAATGTGTCTTAATTTCTTTTAATGATACTGTTCAGCTTTCCCAATACAAATTCTTCATTCTTTTGTTAATTTACCCTGATGCTATTCTTTCTGGTGTTATTATAAATGGAACTGTTTCTTAATTTCATTTTCATATTGTTCATCAATAGTATAAAGAAATATATTGATCTTTGCATATTGATCCTGTGTCCCACAACCTTGCTGAACTCACTTATTAGTTCCAATATGGATATGTGTGCACGTGTGTGTGTGTGTGTGTGTGTGTGTGTGTGTGTGTGTGTGGTCATATGTATATAAAATAATGTCATCTATAAATAGTTTTACATCTTCTTTTCCAATTTGATGTCTTCTTTTTCTTTCTCAAATGTTTATCAGCATCTCAAATATTTTCAGCCCAAGTTCTCAGTGCCCCCCACCCCAGTCCAGATAGCCTTACCAGACCATTTCCCACTCTGGGGTCACTTCCTGACACTGCAGGCAAAGTGAGGCAGAAATCAGCGCTGGCTTCCTCTGGGGGCCCTATTCCCACTGCTTCCCCCTTGCCCAGAGCTGTGGCTCCCTGACGCAGTCAGTCACAGTGCTCTACTCCCTCCTTCGTGCAGGATTCCAGAATACAGAAGTAAAAAGACACTAAATGAAAGAACAGGCCCACAGGAAGTAAAACCCAGCCACTGCCCAGAAAGCAGTAGGGTCAGAGGAACAGGTCATGGGGAGCCTGGGGAGACTCCAGGGTTTGCCTGATGGCATCACCCCATCATCTCCCCACTCCGTATCAGAATCCCCCATCAAACTCAAGCCACCCCAAGGTGCAGAAGGAAATAACTGGTTGGTACCTTACACACATGTAAAGGGCCACGAAGGCAGAGTGTCCACGGCAGACACTCCGAGCTCAGGAGCAGACCGGCGCAGCCAGGGGTCACGCCGTAGATGGCTGGGAGCAGCTCCTCTGGCTGGAGCTGCGCTGGCTCAGCACGAAGGTTGACGAGTTGCTCTTTCTGCTGATGCTTGTCTCTCCGGGCCAGCTGCCCCGCAGGTGGCGGGGGTAGCAGCACAGGAAGCGCTGCACAAGTTCGTGGAAGAGGTGGCCAGTGAAGAGCATGTAGATCCAGGGGTTGCAGCAGCTGTTGAGGCTGGCCAGGAGCATGGCAATGATGAAGGCCGAGGCTGTGGCAGGAGAGAGTGAGCGGGTGTTACCACCCGCCGCTTCCCTTGTCCAGGCCTTGCCCCTGCCCCGCTTCCCTCCCTCAGCAGGGGCAGCGCTCATTACAGCATCTGGAGGCTCACGGTTCACACACTAAGTGCGCAGCCTACTGCTTAGCATGCTGCCAAGAAGGCCAGAGCTGCACCCTGGTTTGCACTCTAGCTCTAGTTCCTTTTTTAAAAATTTTTACTTTGAACATACAGGGTGTAGTGCACTACGTAGTGCAGGCTGACCTTGAACTCGCTGATGTAACTCAGGCAGGCATCAAACTCTCAGTGATCTCCCTGCCTCAGATTCCCTCCTGGGATTATAGTTGTGCAGCATGACAGGCGTGGCTACCTCGGTCTTAACTGGGGATAATGGGAGTATCCAAACCACATGGATGTCAGAAAGAATGAAAGAGAGCCAGGGTACCAGGAGTGCCCAGTACAAATGGTGGTTGCTATCATCCCCATATGCCAGGGAGCAGGGGGCAGACACAACATTTAAGTGAGAGGCACCACGATGTGGGCACATGTGAATCACGGGAGCTGCTCCCTGGCCAAGCAGGAAAGACAAAAGAGCCCAGAGGAGGCCTGGTGGAACCGAAGTGCTATCACCTGGTGAAACCAACAGCATGTTCGTGGAACCTGAGTCATGGGCATGGCTCTGGCATGACAGGTAACAGTTCACACAGCAATAAAGTGACAGCAGAGTTATCTGTGGAAGCTTTTAATTCAGGGTACACTTAGTTCCCCACAAAAATAGTGATCAGAAATCAACTCGAAGGCACTTCCTGTCACAAGCTGAAGTTTCAAGGGAAAAGGAAAAACCTTAATCTTAGGTACTTCAATCAGAGAGAATAAATCTGATTTAAAAAAAAAAAAAAAAAAAAAAAAACCACCTGCTGGCAACAGAGGAGGCCAGGCAACATCTCCAGCGCCCCACACGGAAAACACCACGACCCAGAACACACTGACAGCCAGATTCTTAGGAGGAAAGGCAACCACAAGAAGGCTGGGGAAACCCATTAGTCTTATGTCTGTTCTGCAAAATGTTCCAAAGCATAGCTGCAGAATTCAAGAGCTGAATCCAGGGAAGGATCTGGGGGTGCAGGAGTTGTAACGGCTGACAGGCAGCAAAGTCCCTGAGCACCAAAGAAAGGGAGGCCAGTGAGCCCAGCCTGGCCTCCGGGCAACCCTGGCAGCACCCAGTCAGCCCCTTGTGGGTGGAGCGCGGCAATTTGCTGCAACAAGGGATCTTGGATGACATAAACTCTAATTGACTGGTGCACCTGTTGGGAGGAAAAAGTAAGCTACAGCAGAAAATCCCCAAATACCACAAATATGAGAACTCTTTGAAAGCAGAGGAAGGGAATCTAATCTTTACACCCAAAATAGTGCAGAATAAGAAGGAGGAACTAAAAAAGGAAAAATCCAATCTTATTGAATTTCTTGGTTTTTATAAAAGTGTCTTTGCAAAACTTTTGCTTTGATTTGAATGAGTAAAAAGATGATGAAGTTTAGAAATTCTGGTGAAATATTTTTAAATTAAATTAAAAATCACCCACGAAATTAAAAATAGAATGGGTTCAAAATCAAGGAAGAGGCCAAAGCAGGACACGAAAGTCAAAGATAAGGATACAGGTAAATCAAGCCATGCAATAAGAGAGGAAAACAAAGTCCACACTTGGAGAGGAATCTAGGGGCATCTATCATTGTATGGTACAGGATAAGTAACCTAACATGAAAATACAAACTCCCAAAGGCTCCAGATCTGAGAGTTTTGAGCCCTGACATGATGTATCAACTGGAAAGTCCCGCCCTGACCTCAAGTGACAGGTCACAGCCCAAACAGTAGCATCAGTGGCACTGTATGAAATTCCTTCACATCATGTACATAGGATATATGAAGCTTAAATGAATTTTGTGTTTAGATTTGGGTCTCATCCATACACAAACACTCCCCTACATCCCTCATGACCGGAAACATTTCTGGTGCCACACACTGCAGAGAAACACTGCTCAGCCTGTGGGGATCAAACCTGGTCCCTTATACACAATTCTCCTCACCTCTGCATCTGGGTCTTCTCCGTGCCACCCACCTTGGCCAGCGTGGCAGGAGCCAGTGGTCCACAGCTGCCCCATCTGCCCACCTATCCCTCACCCCCCACCTCTTCCAGCCACAGGCACAAACCACAAGCCTAGCCTGGCTCCTGGGGACCACACACCACCCAAAGCAGAGCCTGCTCCTTGCCAAGGCTAAGATCACTTGTGGATATGTTTTCTAGTTTTGCCAGGATCATCCAAACACTGATCCTGGGGAAAGTGGTACTTGGGATAAAGCACAAGGCTGTGGATTGGGCTACAGGGGAGCAGAGGGCAGAGGCCAGGACCACAGCCAACACTTCCCACAGGCATCCAAGCACTGCCTGGTATGAGATGTGGCAACGGAGACACACCAGAAAGATAGTTTGGAAGCAGGCTGAAAAGGCGTCGTGGCCTGGCTGGACCTACGCTCGACACTCCAGGCCATTTCTGAGCCACCCAGTGACTGACTGATTCCATGTCCTCCTGATTTCCGCACTTACCGTACCTTAGCCCAGACATGTGGCCCTTTCTGGGAGCCTCAAAGCTTGATGGGAGCACAAAGGAAATGCAGCAGAATAAAACACAGAAAATATAGTCCGGGCCTTTCATAATGTTGCTCCCAGGGAGCATGGGACAAGGACATCAGAATCATCAAGACTGCCTGGGATGCTACAGATTCCAAAGCAGTCTTAGCCTCATTTTATAGATGAAAAAAGAAAGGCCCAGAGGAGAGTGACTTCCCCAAGGGCACACAACAAGTTATTCCATGTCCCTACCTCAAAGCAATGCATGATTGCTCTGTAAATCAGGTAAATGATCTCACATACCAGGTTTGTCCCAGGTTTGAGCCTTCTGTCCAGACAAAAGCGTAAGCATCTGAGCACAATGCCCAGAGAGAGATTTGTGGGACAGCTGGCAACTTCTTTATTCCCAAAACAAAGTAGTCCCACATGAGAAGCCCATCCCCTTCATTCCCATGTAGTGGTCTTTTCAAATCCAGAGTACCTGGGAGGAACAGTGTCCCCTGTCACATCTCTACCTTGTGTGTCAGATACATCTCCGTCCAGACAGCAAGAGGGTGTAGGGCTGCCTGTGGCCCAGGAAGTCAAAAGTCTGAAAACAAATAATGGCCTAGCACAGTCATAGACATAGCTGGCCCTGCCCCCAGACTTCAGGCCTTCGAAGGCTGGTGGGGGACAGGACTCCATGCAAGCCTTGGGGCTCGAGACTCCTGCACCACCCTCTGAGCTGCGTATGCTCTCTGAGCATAGGTTTTCTTATTGGGAGTTCAAAGTCACACAGGGCTTTGAAAAAATGGGGGGAAATTAAAAGATAATGTAAAGGGACTTGTGTGACTGGAAGGGAGTTTATTCGAGCAATGAGGAGGAAGACTTTGCTCATAGGCATGATTCACTGTAGTAGTTTATTAAAGTCCGAGATTGGGGACTTCTGATCGTAGGTCAATTAAATAAACTGCATTTGGCTCTCTTCTAGCAGTTGTCAGACATTAAAGAAAAATAGGCTTGGGCAGTGTGATAGGAAAAATCCCTCCACAGTTTGCTTTGGGAAAATCACTATGCTCATGACCTAGGAAAGTCCAAAGCCTGCACTGCAGGCAAGCACAGGGCTTTGGGGTCTTGGGTGGAAGATCGAGCTCTAAAATCACACCTCACACTCCCCTAATGTGATAATCACACTTCCCCTGTGCCCAACCCCAAGCATGTGCCCAGGCTGCCAAGTTCCAGGAAGCGGGGAGGAGCGAGACTGGGTTCCATCCTGGGCTGCAGCCACACAGCCAGAGTGTGTGTTCACTGGGGGTGGAAGAAGGTGCATTCATCCTTCTTCTCTGCCCAGCTCCTCTCTGCTAGGCACTGGGCTGGCTCTAGGGAGCTCAGAAAAGTCCCTGTCCTCAAAGGACCCATAGCCTGGGAGTGAGAAGGATAGAAGAAAGAGACCTACAAGGACTAAAGGTGGAGGAAGCTGGCCTTGTGGGGCTGAGACAAGGGCTGGTCTTCCAGGAGAGGCTCCTGGGTGGCGAGCAGGCCCACGGAGAGAAAAAGCCCTGACCAAAAGTATACACCACCAGCGGCTCTGCCCGGGTGGGAGAATCCACCCTGTATTTCCACTCAGCATTGTGAGTCACGGCAAGGGGAGGCAGGGCCGCTGCAGGATGGTATGTGCCAGGATTCCAGCTCACCAGCCTGCTTCACTTCTGCTCCAAGGACGCCCCGCACACTTCCCAGCACTCCTGCCCAGCACCAATGGCCCAAATTAGCCGCAGACAGCTGACGGGCAGCTGGCCATGGCCACTCTGGACTGTGCTGTTCTCAAGACCACGAACACATTTTGCACACAGCTCAGTTGTGTGGCTGACCTCAGTGGAACCAGTTCCAGCCCAGCAGCTTCCATGGAGCCCCTCACGAGAGAAACCAGCCACTCCCTGGATGGTTTCCCAGAGCTTGGAGAGCAGGGACTGAGGGGCCATCTGGAAGCTGGTCTACGGAAGGCCTCTTAAAAACCATCTTAAATGTACACACATATGAAGTCCCAATACTTCAGGCTAAGAGCACAATTTGACAGCTGATTTTTCTAAGAAAATCACTGATGTGTGATCCTACCATGTATGTCAGGGTTGAGGGGAGGAGCTGCAGCTGTGGGCTTCTATGGCAGTGCCAGCCAAATCAGTGGACATGCTGGCCTCACTGGGCTGAACCTGGAGACAATGACATCATGAAGACAAAAGCCAGAGAGCCTTTCCAAAAGGGCCACGGCTATCCCTGTGCTTTGCAGAATAACCAAGACAGCCACATATGAAAGACACCAGTGGGCTTGGGTCAGAGAGATCATGTTTTAGAGCTCTGCTACTCAATGTCCCAGCAGGCCAGCTGCCTGGA